ATATATCCTCAAACAACTGTATGAGGATAAATTAAAGTAAGGAAGAGCAAATTGGAATAAGTTGGAACAGCCTTGTAGACAAACACTCTCTTTTCATTTATATCTTTAATGGAAAATGGTAGTGCAAAACCTTGAGGAGGAAACTGGAAGAGGGGATGGTGTTCACCGAATATGAGCAGATTCCAAAGAAGAAGGCAGACGGAATTTTCACCACTGCCATTCTCCCTGAGAACATTGAGCGTAATCGTGTCAGAGAAGTCATTCCATATGAAGAGAACCGAGTGGAGCTGGTACCCACCAAAGAAAACAATACAGGCTACATCAATGCATCACACATAAAGGTAATGATGGGGGAAAGAATTGTGGCTAATAGAAGTTGAATTACTTTGAGGAGTAATCACTTGGCTTCATTTGGGCCCCACTCCTAGATACTCAAGATTGTACTATTAAAATCAGCAAAATGTATTTTTGAGCAAAACAGACAAATGATTTTGTTGCTACCGGTATATCCCTAATTTATGTGGGGGAAGACAGTGATTGCTTCAGGGCAGTGAATGAGACTGTGGAAGGGAAAATTCGAGAATCAGTGATGTTACCTGGATTGTATTTCATTAAATATCTAGGAGCACACTAGTACAAGTAGGCTTTCTGTAATGTAAATTCGTATCTTTATTTGGAATAGGCCTAAAATGTATTCTATAGATTTAGTCTTTTTGAAGGTTTCTGCCTTATGCTCTTAAAAGTTTGAGCTTTAGGGGTGATTGCTTCCTAGTTGGTTGACTCCATGATGGCCCCTTCCCAGAGTTTCTCTTGTGCAACCTATTCTGGTTTGTTGTTGTTGTTGCCAGACATAGAACATTTTTATTTCTTCAGACTCTGATGGCAGTTCTTTAATTTTATTTCTGTTGTTTTCATTTCTGCTATTAAAAGGCCTTATTACTTTTGCAAAGTCAGCTTTAAGTATTTTCATGTTCTTATTTGATCTCAAATTTATAATTGTTTTAACAAGTTTTATGTGAGCTGCCAGTGCACCTGTATATAGAAATCCATGGATAGGTGAAATAACTGGCATCTTTAGTTGATCTTAGATTATAATCCAGATCATCCTTCGAGCCTGACTTGGCTTTATTCTTGGTTTTATTCTGCAATCTGAATCTGAAACTGCTGAATATTTGCAAAAGAAGTTGGTTTAAGGCAATGTTTATGGCTTTTATTACCCTCCTGTATTTTCAAAACAACCCTGCATGAAACCTAAGAAGATGGCTAGGGCAACGTTTTCAAAGCAAATCTCTTGGCCTTATGATGTAACTGATAGTGACACTGAAAATCATTTCTACAATAAAAAAGTTTAGAAGAAAATCATTCCATATTTGTTGCTTTTTTTAAAAAAAAATGAATTACATCTGTTTGTAATGATAACTTTTCATTTTGGTCCAAATAATTTTTAGCGCTAACTATACTTCCTGCAAGACATTTCTCTTGAGTTCCAAGAGCTGTTTGGTCATAATTTGCAATACTAAAACCCCCTGTTGAGTTAAAAGCCTTCTAAATCAGAATCCTATCAGATTTCTGCCAAAAGACCTGGTGGCTAGAAGATATTGGGTACTTTTGGCACAATCTGCCTTAGCTTGGATGACTGATTACCGAATGGAACATTTTTCATCTATCTATGGGAGGAGAAATTGTTTGGGAAGGCATAATTTCACCCCATCAGGTGGCAAGGGCCAAGAAGAATTCTCCCTAGTCAGTTTTAAAACCTCATATTTCATCTGGTATATCAGTATTGGACATAAACACATTGTTCTGTAGCACATGTCGGGGCATGTGCTGATCTGTAGTCATATACAACTCTGTGTGTTGCCAGTACATTTTTTTTCCTGCACTCCAAGTGGCTGAGGCAGAAGCCAAGCAGATGTTCTTTTACTCAGAAGGTGAAACTCCATCTGCAGTTTTTTTCCCCCGCCTCATTCACACAGCAAGTGATTTTCTCCCAGTTACCAATATCTAATATGGTGCAGTCAGGATGATATTATTCTTCCACGTACCAGGCCATTCTTTCACTCTTGACTCTTTATGGAGTTTTATTCCTTGTTCTGGGAAGTTGAAAACGGGCCTTTGAATTCTAACCAAAGCTGACCTCCCTTAATATTCTGATAAGAGTTATCCTACTCCTCTGCCAGTCTTGGTTGGGTTGCCTGCCTTTTTTTATACTTTGTTTGTCCAGGTTGCTGAAATTACAAATATTCTATCCATATGTATTAACTAATCTCAGTTATCAACATGCTTACTTTTTTTTTTTACCACCATCAACATACCATCTCTGAGCTCTCCCTTTTTTAAAATTGACTGAGACATACAAGTGCTGAATTTTTCATCTCTGGGAAATAAATGTACATTATCAGATGGAACGTAGGCTGCTGGAAACTTCATACAGATGCATTTATAGATACAGAATAAGAGTTGTAGAATGGTGACTATAGGTGACATAAACAGACCAATTTTTTTATCAGAAAATTTATGCAGAAAAATATTAGAATGGGGAGGGAATGACCAGGAGACAATATTTCATAGGAGAACCAGAAACAAGAAGTTGCCTCATTTCTAGACTGACACTTTTCTTCTGGGCCTAGGTTGTATTTTGTTTGTTTTGTTTTCAAATGTGCTGTTTCCATCAAAGTTAGGCTAAGAACAGTCCAATTACTTAAATATTGTTAATATATTGAACTTCTACTTTGAACTAATAGATAGAAACCTAAACTTTATTTGGTGTCCGGCCTTAAGAAGAGCAAAGATGGGTAGATCAGCTCAGCATGTTATAAGCACCCATAGGAGAGTTGTGCAGTTATGAAAGTAATTTCTCTCTCTCTCTTTCCTAGGTGACAGTAGGTGGAGAAGAATGGCACTATATAGCTACACAAGGACCGTTGCCACAAACATGCCACGATTTCTGGCAAATGGTGTGGGAGGAAGGAGTCAATGTGATAGCCATGGTGACAGCAGAAGAGGTATGTAACAGGACAGGAAACATCTGCAGTGAAACACAAACAGAAGCTTCCCAGCCAGGAAAAAGTTTTTCAAAGGAGATAGACTAGCTGCATTTGAAATCAGGCTGAGCCGTGGTTAAGTGAAGTGTTAAAAGCTCTGGCCATTTCCCAGGCTCACATGTTCCCCTCACTTCCTCTCATGAAGCCAAGAAAACGAGTTAGGAAACTTTCTCTTCCAGAAAAGGTGAACTGTGAGATCCATAAAAGCCTTAGGCATGTTCTCTCTCCTCTATCCAGTGATCTCCCAAGGAGTTACAAAAGTGTCATTTCGAATGTGACAGAAGGAAGAGAATTTTAAATACATACTGGAGAGTAACCATAATCATTACACAAATAGCAGTTAAGGTATCAACAGTATGAAACAATAAGCCATTGAGAAACATGGCTAAATATGGAAATGAACCCAGGACATGTTATTTCTAAGTTAACACTAACTTATTACCCAGCAGAGATTTCAAAATCATCCTAGTAACACTGGGGCTGAGTAAGATCAATTTATATCTTGCCCGGTATTCTCAATATATAGAATATCTGATGACATAAAATAGTAAAGAATCAAATTTGGAACAGGAAAGAGAGAGGGAGAGAGGAAAAAAGAAGAGCTGTTAGTTCTCTAAACATAACACAAAAACTGGGTCTGTTTATGGCAATAATAAATCCTATCAAATCGGGTAGGCAATTTACAAATTCAGTTTTTCTTGGTTCCACCTACTTCTTGGTGTTGTGATGAGAATAAAATAAAGGAAGATTCCAATATAACGTACTGTTTGCTTCTGGAGACAAAGGGGTATATAAAATAATAAAACAACTACACAGCCTTGCAATTAGCTATGCTAGTATAGACTGATGGGGGTTGCAGAAGAAACCAACTGAAAGTCAAGTGGCTTACTGATAACTTGAACTGGCCAGTGGCCACATTAATTTTAATACAAACACATACACATACACACACACACAAGATGTTTTGACAACCAAGTAAGAAAATACAAGGAGAAGAAATTTGTATTTACTACATTTATTACATATATATTAATTTTTATTGTAAGCTGCCCAAAGTCAATGGGATTCCATATATATCTTATATATATAAATAAAAATGTAAATGTTCGTTTGTTCAAAATCTTAAATCTCTGAAAGTTCTTCACCGATTGCTTTGAAATTTTGACACAACGTTGCATTCGAATACGCGCGTGTTTTGATATACCTACTATTATATAGATGTCACACCTGTGACAGGTAAAAACATGCTTTTTTTGAAAAACAGCGCCATCTGTTGGACGTAAATTTAACCAGACTGAGCCACAGCAACGTGTGGCTGGGTACAGCTAGTATACTGTATATATATAAAGGGGCTCCCATTGACTTTGGCCAGCTTACAATAAAAAAGAAAAAAAATACAAAGAACAAAAACAAAACATGAGCAATCCAGAAACTGCATAAAACCAAACCAAGCAACCCCCCCCCACCCCAAACCAAAACTATTAACTAAGGTCAACTTTCAATCAGAGCTTGATCTTTAGTAGCTTCCTGAACAGCATTAGGCTGGGAGCCATCCCAGCAGATAACCTGGAAGAAGAAAGCAGATTTCTAAGTTCCACAAGATCACACTGTTTGATAAATGAAACACAAAGATTGATCAGAAGTGTGCTTACTATACCCATTGAAAAAGAGAAGATTCTGTCCATTTTCTTGGGACAGGCAAAAACAACCCTATAACAGGTGATCTCTCAAATAACTAGGCTCTATGCCACAAATTTAATTCCTTTTCCATTTTTTTTCCCAAATCTTGAAACATGTCATCCTCTGTGGATTTGTTCTCTCTCTTTTGATCAGCTTGTCCTCTGTTATAGCAGGAACTGTTCTGCGGCAGGCCCGGGTTTTATCCTACAATACCCTTGAGGGATGGGTGCCTGAGTGATTATGCATGTGTGATTTTTGTGCTGTAGGAAAGTCTCTCTGAAATAACGTGCTTGTCTTT